TCGATAATGCGGACAGTACCCTCCAAGCTTCCTTTTTCTTTGTTTGGGTAGGCATACAGTATCAACAAGCCGTTTTGTTCGTTTCCGTCATTGTTTATTCGAACATCGTTGACTACTTCAGTCATAGGATCTTTACGAACTAATGAATGTTTATTACTTGGAGTATATCGTGCATAAATGTAAAAATACGACGGGACAATTTTTACAGAGTTTGCGTACATCCAAGGCTAAGAAAATTGAAAAAATTTGACTTCCTCTACAACGCGACTTTCGTTTAGAGGTTTTCATTATTTTGGCAATCGTTCGGCAAGATCTTAGCCCTTGGTCTGTGAACAAACTTATGGTTACTGATGAATGAATACATTAAAGTTCTTTTTGCTAATAGAACTGAACTCAATATGTTCCCAGGTGGCAGACTTGTGGCAGATGGCATTACGGCCCACGTCAATCAAAGCGCTCTTTTTGTGAGTCCTCTTTACGATGCATCGCACGATGGCAAGAGTCGATGTCTACGGTTTCGTTACATGCTGCAAGGACCTGGGGAGAAAGCACTGACAGTTTACCGGAAGACAAAAACGTATCGTGAAATACCTATTTGGATCTCAAAAGGCATCACCCGGGGGAACTGGGTTTATGGTCAGGTTCAGCTCAGCTCCATTTCAGACTTTCAGGTATAGAATTGGGCTTTTCACCTTTTCTTAGATTTGCTCAAACGAAGTAGACCTTCTTATTCATTCCTTTCGTCTAATGGACAAAACCATCAACTTTCCGATGTTGGTACAATAAGTTACATCAAAGCAAGCCGTCCAAAAAAAACTGTGCGGACATATCGTTTACATTTGGTGGAAATTTTTGCCACGCGAACCTTAATCTATCATACTTATCCCATCCCCGCAACACCAACATCGCGAGCGCACCAATAAAGCCTCCAGGCAGTAGAAACTGCAATGAGATTAGTAATTAATTGCAGAAATTGTTTCATTACCGAGAAAGGTGCTTATAAAAGCGGAAATGGAGAGGAGAGAAGACTTGATAGCGTTGACAGGGCTGTACATCGATGAGGGAATAAATTGCAGAGTGACACCACTGTCGGCGAAAGAAGGTGGAGTATAGCAATGTGATTAGATAGAAAGAGGAATAATTTTTTTTAATCAAATTACGTAAGGGCGCCATTGCCACTAAACTTTGAAACAATTGTGTTTTCGAAGCAATTGAAATTGTTATCGCGCAACTCTGGGACGACACTGCTGCTGTTATTTGTGCTCATGAGGCACTGCGCATGTACTTCGTGTCTAATGATAGTGACACCGGTCAGGTTGTTGAGGCAGACACTTCTTAACATTCTCGCCTTCATCCGTTGTTTCTCTTTCAGCTTGCCACGAGAACTTAACCAACGAAATAGGATATTTCTTCTCTCCTTCATATCCTGGAAATCTTCCAGATGAAACTTTTTGCAAATGGCACATCACTGTCCAGAAAAACCACATCATTCGTTTGGAATTCCAAGAGTTTTTACTCACGAACCACCCCACATGCGAGAGGTGTTTCCTTCAAATCTTTGATGGACGTGATTTATCTGCGACCGCGATAGGAAAATTTTGCGGCTATATGCATCCTCCAGTTGTCATTTCCTCATCAAACCATTTCACGATTGTTCTCCGCTGTGTTGAGGGTTTGCGAATGACAAGATTCAAGGCCTTTTATCATTCTATTAGAAGTATGTTATATCTCAATGATTTTAAATATCGAAAATATATCGACCTGTTTTATATGTATAAATCTTAGTAAAATTGAATTTAAAGTTCTGGAATTAAAAGATAAATATGCAATGGATGACCAAATCAATGCAACTTGCGGTTGAAGTAGGCTTAATTGGTGTTCGGGTCACTTTCCTGAACATTAGGTGGAGATGTTTTTTGGTGAAATATGAAACTTTGTCAATTAGCTCGCGGCAGGGAGTTTGATGAGGTGCAGTATTCAGTCATTACTCCAAACAAAGGTAAAATGCCAACTGAAATGCGTAATGGCGTACCTTTAACGATATTTGATTTTTCTCTCACCTCTCTGCATCAGAATTAATAGTGCTAAATGAGAAAACCGTATGGCAAAATCTGTGCCTGTTGTGAGAGATATCACAATTTCCGAGTTTGAGATTCCACTTTGGGAAAAAGAGAAGTTTTGAACCGTAATAGGAAGGGTAATATCAGTGACTGTGACAAAGCCATTAGGGCTAGTCGTAACTAATGCCTTAACTGCAAATTGGTGGCTATATCTACGTTTTGCATTTTTCAGCTCAAGATTGGGAAGGATCGTCTTGCTCACTTCATCGAGGTAAATGAATCTTTATCGATAAACTGACTGCTTGAAATAATTTTTTTCCAGTTTTTATCCAAATCGTGAAAAGGATTGAAGGATGATGTTAGATAGTAACTGAATGTCGAAAATCGTTTTTAGAATGCCCATCAAGCTGCGAGTGTAAGGAGTTTGGTGAAGTATACGACAAGAGGATTCTGGTTATTGGAGAAAAGTTGCTGGCTGTACCGAGTAATCTTCCTTCAAATACTGGAGCAGTGTATGTTTAACCGTTTTCCTGGTTACCATCATTATCACTACTCATTATACTTACAATCACCTAGTCCTTCTGCTTACATACACGAACTTATTAAAGAGATTTGGCTTGATGTCTACGGCAATGGTCAAACGGCAAACAACAATATTGAACTCGATAGCGCCTTTTCCCAGCCTTTTGCTTTCTGAAGTGGAAATATTTTGACGTGAAAAAATAAAATCTATGTTCACAAAAGGTTATTAAACAAAAAACCGATCCTAATGCTTTGTTCATTTTAGGGTTAAAGGAAATTTAAGCAGTAAACGTCATGCGTAAACTCTCTATATTGTTTACGTGCACACATTAAGCTGTTTATTGATAATTTTGGCAAGGGAGATTACTCTGAGGGACTTTTTTTTCCTCTCTCAATCATTTTCTTCAGTGAATTATAGCCTGCTTCAAGGGTTTCCTTGATTATTTACTTAAGTTCAAGTTCAGGTGATTCTGTATGAAGGCCATATTTTTACTGTACAAGATAATGTGTCTCTATTACGATCATATTTACCAGGATTTTTCGTCAAAATTGGATCTCTCAACTTCGCGAGAAGGAGTTTTCAGACCTTATAACACTCGAATATATGTGAGTTGAACGCCATATTCTCTGTTTTTATAAATGTAGTTTTAGGTTTTCCTTGAAATGCGAAAACCTTTAAGATGTCAAATAGATGTATGTATGTTTAACCAACCCTCTGATTCTTCACGCTATCTTAAGGTTCGCAAGAGACAAAAATGATATATTTCATAGTGTACCACGAATTTTATTCTGCGGTCTGGAGAGCATAATTAGAGTAGGACTCTCCATGGTTCTGGCTACATTCAATACCTTGAAAGATCTCCGAAAACAAGTTGAATAATTCTACTTGAAAAACCATACATTTTAGAGATATCAAATTAATAGGTTACATGTTCTCTTTAAAACAGTGACCTTAGCTTCAATAATCTGCTCTACCTGGATGAAGAGTGTTTTCGCAACGTATCTTTTGTTACTACGCTGTGAGTATTTGATGGCGATTATAGTTTAATAAATATGAATTAGTGCATTCCAGAGAATCCTTAACACTAAATTTGTTAGCGAAGTTGTCATCTTTCTCATCTCGAATGTCCCCATGGCTGATAGGGATATTCCTCCTCATTGCTTTATTCGAACCATTATTATCCTGAAGGCATCATGGGAGAAATGGGTGGCAAGGGTAACGTAGTATGCGTTGATGGGGTTGACGACGACTCCTCTAGATAAGATAAGTTTTAAGGACGTAAGAGAAAGCATAGATCAGTGCTCCAGAGGAGATCTTCTCAATGCATCCGTCTCGCATTATCGCTTAGATTTGTTGAAAGGAACTGTTAGAATCTTACTGACAGGCTTGCTTGTGTTCTCTGCAGGAGACTGAATTCTAACTTTCTTCGAATTCTTCCTATTGGAGCATTCAGCGAGCTCCCTAATTTAAAAGTCCTGTGAGTATATCCAAAGATAATCCCATTCTTTCACATTGCATAACATCATGAAACGACGATCGACAAGATCTCGATTGAGTGGGCTCAAGAAACTGTCTATTTTATTTCAGTGACTTAGGAAGTAACCTTCTTAGCAGTATCAGAAGTGGAGTGTTTGATGCACAGTCAAATTTGAATGTTTTGTAAGTACTTATTTTCAATAAAATTTGAAAGCTGACAAAGATTGAGAAACTTTTAAAGCATTATTTTGGCTTTTTTTTTTTAGAGGTTTACGCGCAAACCAACTGACGAATTTGCAGTATGGCGTTTTTGACAACAAAAGCAAGATGACTCATTTGTAAGTAAAAGGTTTTCTTTTGTTCAAAGCCAATCGCCAAAGTCATACCACTGCTATTCAGAACAAACCGAAGGGTCATGATAAGAAGTTTAGTTACAAGGTGAACTGGAAGTCATATGTCTAACTTAATACTTTATAAACCATATTCGAAACGTAATAATGGACTTCTAATTTTTGTAAGGTACCTTCAGGAAAACAAGCTGACAGCATTGCCAAATGGCTTGTTCAAAG